CTACAGAAGGTGACATCACCGATTTGGGAAGAAAGAAATACTTTCTGTTGGTTTTGATACCACATTTCTCAAATGAGAAGCAAACAGTTTGCTTCCTTGGATCCGTGGTTTCGCCTGTGGCCTTCAGGGGGCAGCGTTGCACTAAGGAGGCATCTGTGTTCATTGCAGATCATCCTCATCCAATGAGCCTCCTCCCTGCCGCTGGCTGATGTGGCTCACTGATGTCTGTGTAGATAGGGAGCTGTGATGAGAACAAGAGGTCAGAACACATTTAGGCTCCTTAAGAGAAAGCCTTTCTTTAACTGTTTTTGAAACGCTTCAAAGGCAGAGACTTGTCCAGCCTAACCTCCCAGCTGCCCCTATCTTCTGAGGCTCAGGGCCCTTGGCTTCTGTCCGCCCTGCTCAGGGTCCTCCAGCGTTGCCACTCCTCAGCCATGCTCCTGCTGCTCGTCCCAGTGCTCGAGGTGATTTTTACCCTGGGTGAGTAACATTCCATTACCTTTCTTCCTTTTGTAAATGTGACTGTGTTGTAATTTTCTCTGAATAGAGACATCTTTTCTTCATAGCAAAGTCTGTGCTGCCTTTACTTACACAGCGTTGGTGTTGCAGGAGGAACCAGAGCCCAGTCTGTGACCCAGCTTGACAGCCAGGTCTCTGTCTCTGAAGGAGTCCCTGTGCTGCTGAGGTGCAACTACTCATCGTCTTTTTCACCAAATCTCTTCTGGTATGTGCAATACCCCAACCAAGGTCTCCAGCTTCTCCTGAAGTACATATCAGGGACCACGCTGGTTAAAGGCATCAATGGTTTTGAGGCTGAATTTAAGAAGAGTGAAACCTCCTTCCACCTGACGAAAGCCTCAGCCCATGTGAGCGACGCGGCTGAGTACTTCTGTGCTGTGAGTGACACAGTGCCTGAGACTGCAGGGCAGCTGAACACAAACCTCCTGAGATGCGGAGACTTTCTGTGACTCGAGAACTCAACCTTGAAGTCTGTTTTATAATATTAAATAGCAATTCCAAGTTTCTGATGCTTATTGATGTATGCTGTATCTTTTTCATCTATTTATTTTTAAACTATCTATGACTTTAAAATGTGTTTCCTGTAGGTAGCATAAAAGAGCATCTTTTCTTTTTATCTACTTTGTTAATCTCTGTTTTTGCATTGTGAAGTTTAGATAATTAAAATTGAATATAAATATCAATCAGGTTGGATTTAAGTATATTTCATTATTGTGTTTCACCCATGTTCTGTTTTTTGTTCTTTTTTTCTGACTCTTTTGGATTATTTAAATACTTTTCAATTTACATTTTAATTTATCTATGAACTTTTTGGCTATAACTCTGTACTTTTTGAGTAGTTGCTCTGGAGATGGCAATGTACATGCCTAAATATCCCGGGTCTTATGTGAGCAAATACTGTACCTCCTTATGTGAAATGTCGAAATTTTACACAATGTCCCTTTATCTACCAACACTAAAGTTTGTTATTGTTGTTCATATGTATTAGTCACATACATTGAAAACTTCACCAGGCCTGGCACAGTGGCTCATGTTTGTAATCCCAACACTTTGGGAGGCAGAGGTGGGAGGATTGCTTGAACTCAGGGGTTTGAGACCAGCCTGAGCAACAAAGTGAGACTCCATGTCTATGAAGTATAAAAGAAATTAGCCGGTTATGGTGGCACTCACTTGTAGCCTCAACTACTCAGCAAGTTGAAGCAGTATGATAGCTTGAGCCCAAGAGTTCAAGGCTGCAGTTAGCTACGACAATGCCACTGTATTCCAGCCTAGGCAATAGAGCGAGATCCTTGTCTCAATTTTTTTAAAATCACAATATATAGAAAGCTTTACCATACAATGTTATAATTTTTGCATTCAACAATTATATGCACTTTATAAAACTTAAGGAGAAGAGTAAGAACTATTTTATACTTAACAGCTATTTATCATTGCTGGTATCTTCCTTTGTTCCTGAAGATTTGGGTTTTCTCTGATGCCAGGGGATATAACTGAAATTCCCTTCAAACTTAAAAACTCCCTTTAGTATTTTTTCTAGAGCAGATTTGCTGGGAAACATATTTTTCATTTTTTGTTAATTATCTGAAAATGTATTTTTAACTTGCCCCTTATTTCTGGAAGATAGTTTTTACTGGGTCTGTAATTCTGTGTCAACACTTTCCCCCACTCACTTTAAAGATGCCATTTCATTGTCTTTTGGCCTCCATGCTGTCTGAATAGAAATCCATGGCCATCAAGTACTTGTCCTCCAATGATGTAATATATTGTTTTTCTCTAGCTGCTTCGTATATAAGCTGTGTACACACACACACACACACACACACACACACGACAAATTATACAATCTTTTGTTGTCAGTGATATAATTATAATGTGTTTAGATGTGGTTCTCTTTGGTTTTGCCTTGTTTGGGGCTTGAATTGATAAATGCATGTCTTTCAATGAATTTGGCAAGCTTTTGGCCATTCTTTCTTCAAATATGTTTTCTGACCCAATATCTTCTCTCCCTCTAGGACCCCAGTTAGATATAATTTAGACTTTAGAATATTTTCCCACAGGTCTCCAGCGCTCTGTGTTTTTTTCTTTCAATTTTCAAATTGATGTTAAGGTTTGTCAGTGTTTCCTGACCTTGGCACTACTGATATTTTGGGCCTTATAATTTTTTTTATTGGGGTGTGGGGCTGCCCTGTGTGTTGCAGAATTTTTAACATCTCTACACTAGATGCCTATAGCACTACACACCCCAAGTTGTGACATCCAAAATTGTGTCCAGATTTGCCAAATGTCTCCTGGGGGAAGACAAAGTCAAAATTAGTTGGATTAAATAATCTATATTGATCTATTTCCAATTTTGCATATTCTTTTTTCTATCATCATTTTGCTATTGAGCCCTTACTGTAAGATTTTTATTTTTGATACTGTATTTTTCAGTTCAATTTCTATTTTTTTCTTTACTTTGTGGAACATAATCAAAAGAGCTACTTTGACATCTTTGTCTATGAGTTTTAGTATCTTAGTCATCTTGATATTTGAATTTGTTGATCTTTTACTTCAATATTAGTTCATTTTTCTGGCTCTTTGTCAAATAATTTTGATGTACATCTTGAACATTTCAAATATTATGTGTGTACACTCTGTTTTCTCCTCCTTTTCCTTCTTCTTTAAAAAACAATCATCTAAAAAATGTTAATGTTTTTGTTTGAGCAGAAAGTCAGCCTAGTTTGGTTTACACTGTTAGTTGTTTCTCCCCTTTTGTGGAATTTGGTAGCTCAAAATCACAGTTCAGTTCTCTAATCATTTGCAATGTTGGTTTGGGTTTATACCTGTCGTGTGTAGCTCAGGGATTAGTGAAACCAGTTTGCGTGGCTCAAATCTCAGGTCAGTTTCTGAACTCTCTGCTACATTGGTTTTAGTTTCTCCTGCATGGGTGCCGCTTGGGGGTAGTCTGAGACTGGAATGGTGGTTCAAATATTAGTTAAATAACCTAAGATTTGCTGTTCTGGTCTGAGTCAGGTTCATGTATGTAGAGTCTTGGGATCAGCCTGAGACTTAAAACTATTTTCCATCTCTTCCCTAGGGTCTCTGTTTTCTAGCCTGACCCACAGAGGCAGAAAATTGTGTTTCTTGCAGAGTTTTGACTTCCTACATCATTACCATATTGTTGTATGCATTGGGGCCTCCCTCAGGGCAAAGTCGAGAGAAAGAAACAGAAAAAATATGAAATTCACGCTTGTGCAGGTTGCTTCTCCAATTTTTGACTTCCCTACACAATCTGCTAGCTCTTGGGTAATTTCAAAGTCCACAGTTAGTTTTTTTCTTCTTTTTTTTTCTTTTTTTTTGTATTTTGTTCAGTTTTTACTTGCAATCCATGGCAGAGATTGGCTGTAGGTATCTTAAAGTTATCTCCTATTCTACTATGGTCCTGCATTAATTTGTGGTTGTCCATAATATTCATCAAGAATGGCTATTTGATGTTGTCTTTTTCCACCCTCTTTAGTTGTATTGCCCTTTTTAGTTAATCTAATTCATTTTTTATATTTGCAAATTTTTCTCATCAAGATTGTAAGACGATTTAATTAAGGTCTTAATTTTTTTTTGATATTTCATTTCTTATTTTTCGAATTTAAGAAGGTCTTTCTTTGGTGCAAAAAAATTGAGAATGCATACTTGTTTTTATAAATAATTCAAATACTATATTTTTTCCTAAAGTCTAAAAATTTTTGTATTCTGAATTATATCTGGATTTAAGAGTATGTTAATGCATAGTAGGACTATTCAAATACTACGTTTTTTTTTAGTACCTAAAACAGAGCTGATTAGTTTTTAATTTTCTCTTTCACTGCTATTTTTTTCATTTCTGATTTTTTGCTTCCTTTAAATGAACCATGCATTTTGGTATTTGGGGCTGTGTTTGGAGACCCTTTAATCTTCCAGGTAATCATGTGTTTCTTAGAATGCTGCCAACACCCTTCAGTGAGAATATTCTATTTATGATCTTATTTAACTATGAGGTGTTGCTTCTACTACTACAGGGGATTGAATAATTCCTTTACATTCTTCCAGTGCAGAGCAAAAGGCAATGTTCCAAGACATCACACAATCCTATGGCCTTTGACTTTGAACACACTGGGCTTTGCAAATGCTCAGCAACTTTGAGAAAAGTTAAAATGACCACCATTCTGAAATTCAGAAGAAGTTGTTCCTCATAGCTTATTTTCGAATATTTTTTTTTCTGCTCTGCTTTAATCTTCAATATAATCCCACCTACTTTCTGTCTCCTAGAAATATGTGTCACCAGATGACCTTCACCAGACGACCTTCATTTTTTTCTACTCTTGTGAATTTTAGTCTATTTCCATTTTATTTCTATTCTTTAATTTAGGAAGAAATATTCAAGAGAAGGGAAATGAGCATATGGCATTAAGAATTAGAAGTTTACACTCAAAGGCTACACTTTTACAAAATGATAGCATTACTTAATTTTCTTCATTCAAGACAATCTTTTCCGACAGGAACAAGTGAATCAAGAACCCAAGGAGAGAACTGGGCTTATACTTTCAAATCAAAGGAAAGAAGTATTCTGACTTTGTCAAGGGTCCCATTAACCACAAAAAAAGCAGTGACTTTCTCCATTCTCATGTTTTCAGAGTTTTATTTTTGTTCCCATCTACATTTATTATTATTTGTTTTTATTTTTAAATTTCAACTTTTATTTCTCGCTTGTTGGGGTTGTATTTCCTTCAGCCCAAGAGGTTTCTGTAGTTTTATTTTCTTTACCCCTAGAGGCAAAGCCTTCCCATCATGAGTTATGCCTTGTCATTAGTTGCATGGAGGCACTACTCTCCTTATGTGAAATCTTTTCCTCTATGGCTGCACAAGCACCATCCGAGGGAAATGTCTCTACCATCCTCCATCACCACTGTGGCAACACTGAACCATCCAAAACTCAGTCCAGGGCAATTGGTCTGAGCCCAGACTCTCATGGACTCATATCTAAATTCTGATATACTTTCAATAACGATTCCTCTGTGAGGTGACGTATTACTCCATTTTTACGTGAAATCTTATTGCTAATGGACTCTAGCACTAAAACACCATGATAAGATTTGGTCAGGAAGAAACATGTCCTGTGGAAGTTTTGATACATCTCAGAAAACAGGAAGAACACACTAATGAGCGGTCTCTGCTAAACTCCCGTTCTGCACTTGGCCTCCAGAGGGCGAGGCTGCACAAACTGGAGCTTTTGTTTCTGTTGAAGATCAATTCACTGCTCAGTTTCTTCTTCCTGCAGCTGGTTGAGTTCTTTCTAGACAGAGACAAGTGACAAGAATCAGAGGTTTAAAAGCAACCACATTCATCTCTGCAGGTTTTGTAGTTTTATATAAGCAAGGAGCTCGTCCAGCAAACCTTCCCCACACTTCTTGTTCTTGGTCTCTTCAGCCACTTTCCTTCTTGTTCTCTGGAGATCTTGCAGAAAAGAGCCTATAGTGTTTCCCTTGCTCAGCCATGCTCCTGGTGTTCATCCCACTGCTGGGGATACATTTTGTCCTGAGTGAGTAAAATTTATTTATGGTCTTTAGTTTCACAGGTTCTGACTAGAAATGCTTACTTTTTATACTGAGTCTGCACTGCTTTCACTGATAGCACATTGTTTTTCCAGGAACTGCCAGATCCCAGTCAGTGACCCAGCCTGATATCCATATCACCGTCTCTGAAGGAGCCTCACTGGAGTTGAGATGTAACTATTCCTATGGGGCAACACCTTCTCTCTTCTGGTATGTCCAGTCCCCCGGCCAAGGCCTCCAGCTGCTCCTGAAGTACTTTTCAGGAGACAGTGTGGTTCAAGGCATTAAAGGCTTTGAGGCTGAATTTAAGAGGAGTCAATATTCCTTCAACCTGAGGAAACCCTCTGTGCATTGGAGTGATGCTGCTGAGTACTTCTGTGCTGCGGGTGCCACAGTGCCTGGGTCTGCAGGGGGAGCTGAACACAAACTGCCTATGCTAGAGAAGTTTTCAGAGACTCAGTGTATCTTCCTGTGACATTTTCAAAGATCTCTTGCTTTTAGGATAGTGAGTGAGGCAAAGAAAGCTGAGCACATCCAGACATTTCTATATAATTCTGCAATTCCTTCTGTGTCCCATGTCAGGTAAACTTTGTTTTAGAAGCTTTTTGTTAATTGAAGAAACTGCGTAATAGGAAATAGTATTCTAGAATGATGGAGGAGACATACTTCTTATCACCTAACAATCAGGTTCTCAAGGACCTTTCCTTGACCGTGACTGCATTAAGTGGTTGACTATGGGAATGTTGATATGGTCTAGGATAACCTTGGTTTTCATTTATCATTTAATCTCTCAACTAACCCAGAAAACAAAAGATAAGCTTCTCATGTTCTTACCTTGCAAGTTTGCATTCTTGAGCTGGTCATTCGTAGGGTATTTTCTTAGAATTTATTTTTTCTGGCTTTAACTGTGCTATTCAGGTTTCAGGATATCTTGTCTCAGTAACTCTATTTAGGAAGAATTATGAGAAATTATTAGCCAATGGTGAAAGTTTCATTAGAATCATGAAGGACTCAGAAAATTGTCACAGCGATGTGAGTTCTGGCAACTAGGAATAGTGCACAAGGAGAATGAAGATTTAGAATTCATCAGTGTTTCTCCAAAGACTTTTTCACAGTTATAAAAATAGCTTCTATTCTATTGATATATTAATTATGCAAATCTACATTGTAAGTTTTTCTATGAAATTCCGTTCATCTCTTCTAGCTACTGACACTTTTACTTGTTGCTTTCACTCTGTTGTTACATGGTTTCACTATTGAAATATTAAAGATTGATTCTTTTTTTGGAGATAGGGTTTTACTCATTCACCTAGGCTGGAGTGCAGTGGCATGATCATAGCTCACTGCAGCCTTGACCCACACCCCCAGCCTCAAGCAATTCTCCCACCTCAGTCAGCTTCCTGAGTAGCTGAGACTACAGGTGCACACCACCATGCGTGGCTGATTTTTTTTTTAAATTTTATTTTTAGTGGAGAAAAGGTCTCACTATGTTGCCCAGGCTGGTTTCAAACTCCTGAGCTCAAGCAATCCTCCAACCTCGGCCCCCCAAAGTACTAGTATTATAGGCATGAGCCACTGAACCTGGCCAAAGATTGATTCTTTTATAGTAACATTTTGATAATCTGTCATGTGGTAAGTTTTGCGATGCCAAGCTCTGTTAGAAATACTGATAAGAGTTACAATGGTACTGGATTCCAGGCAGCTGCTGGAAAGTATAAATGTGTGACTTTCTTATGTCTAGAGTGGAAAGAACTGTATAAGAAACTCCTTGTCTGCTTGCTGCCTCGGAGGATAACCAGTGCTTCGGAGGAAAAGGAGAAGGAGGAGGAGAGAGCTCTTTAGCTGCCATTTAGCTCATACTATAATGTCTACGAGGGTAGGTGCATAGGGACCCTGAAAATATAGATCAAATTAGTAAATTGTGGGCAATGGCACTCCTTAGCCAAATGGTGAACCAAGATGTCAACAGTATGTTTTAGGATGTGGTGATATGACTACATGTGATAAATATGTTTAAGTGATTTCTGGAATGCTGTGAGGAAGGTGAATGGTGTGTCAGATATATAAAATTATGAAAAAGAAATGTATGCTCATTTAATGTTCCTGCCTCAGTCCCTTCCTTCTTTGCTGGTTTTGGACCACACTCTCATCTACCACTGATAAGACAAATAATTTCAAGTGACTCATTGTCATCAGCTCAGCCACACTGGCCAAAAGGACTCATCATAGTATCATGAGCACTTTATGCAGATCGATTTGAGAAAGAACTGCCCATTTCTTTTGATTCTGATCTCAAACTGAATATTAAAGAAAAACAAATTTCATACCAAGGACCCTAAGCAGCTGGGAGAGCATTCCCCTTCTGCCTTAAGGGAGAAGCATTCACTTCTGCCTGAAAAATCAAAGTAATCTTGCTTCCTTCTACTAATAATTTGTTGCTTTTATATAAGTACATGATTTGTAGGAGAAACTTCCAAAATAAGGAATTATGTTAAGAAAGTGGAAATTCTGAGTTATTTTATCAATGATATCAATCATTCCGACTGTTCAGAAAGAATTCTGAATTTTCTTGTAATTAACTGATCTTACTACATATTCCATCACCCAGAAGCAGGTACCCTAATTGAAAGGCGGAACATTTTACTGAAGACCAAGCTAGAGCCCTGATTGGGAGACAACAGCACATATGCTAAACATTTTCTTCTCTCCCTACATCGTGTTTTTATCTTGTGTACAAGCTGTTGGAAATAAACTTTATAATTTAGTGTAAAGGTAACAGAATTTTCAGGCTGAGTGACGTGGCTCACACCTGTAGTTTCAGCACTGTGGGAGGCTTAGGCAGGAGGATCACTTGAGGCAAGGATTTCAAGACCAGCCTGGGCAACACAGCAAGACAACATCTCTACAAACAATTAAAAAAATTAGCCAGGTATGGTGGTGCCCACCTGTAGTCCTAGCTACTCAGGAGGATTGCTTGGGCCCAGGAGTTCAAAGTTACACTGAGCAGTGATCATGACACCGTTCTCTAGTCTGGATGACAGAACAAGATCCTGCTTTTAAAAAAAATTTAGGAAGGACTGTCCCTGAATTTGAAGAACTATTAATGTAATCAGTGATAAAGTCAATGACTTTTGCGGTTGTGCATCTCTTCATTTTGGAGAAAGAATGAAAAGTTCTTCAGCTGCAAGACGGATTTCTGTATCTCGAAGGAGATAGAAGTATAGAATTATTTTGTTGTTGTACATGTTTCAAATGTGTGTAGAAGAATGTGTGTGTTGCATAGAGAAGCTTGGAGTAGTTGAAGGAATCAATTTATTGACTCTCAGCTCTAAATTCACCCTTGCTTCTTCTGTGAAGGTGGATCTGGAACCTTCGACCATTTTCCTTTGCCAGTTGACACAACGTTAAGCTTTGTAGTAGAGAGTCAGGAAGAAAAGGTTTTGCTTTCTGCTTTCCGTGTGCTCACTCATCAGGATCCTGCACCATGGGAGTCTTCTCCAGTGTCCAGTTCATGCAGAGCACTTGCACCAGTTTCCTGCAGTGCACAGTGCCCAGGAGTTTCCTTCAGAACCCCCCTGTTTTGGGGTGATTCTGTGGAAGACAGCCTGCAGTGAGACACCTCCCCGTGAACAGCTTTCCCCAGTGTCCTAGAGGATGATTTTCTGCCATGTTCTAGAGGGTGGATTTCTAGCAAGTTCTGCTGGTACAGCACCACAGCGACTTCCCTTTCATCCAGTGAGCCACAGCTGTGTCTTTTCAATAACATCTGGGTCTCAGCCCTGGGGGTGGGGCTAGAGGCCTCTTCCCTGGTTATCCTACCCTGCCCTAGGAGTAGAGGCTGCACCTTATGTCTGCTATTCCTACAGGAATAGGAATAGCAGAGTTTTCTGTTCTTCATATTATTCATTCTCTTGTTACTCTAACACTCTGTTTATTAATCCTTAAAATTTTTCTGTTGAAATTATATGGTTTCTCTTTCCTGATTGTACTAGACTGAGACATGCACCAAGGACTTCAAGCAACTGGAAAGCATCCTCCATCTCCCCTCCCACTCCTGCCTGAGATATCAAAGTAGTTTTCTTGTTTTATTTCTCTATTGATTTATTGTTTTACTTACTTATTGTTTTATTTACATTATTGTTATATAATTATGAGAAAACTTTACAATAATTTTATTAAGAATTTGGAAATATTGTTGCTATATTAATAAAATTAATTTTACTATTAACATTTTGTGCACATTATACACAGAATATTATTATACCATTGGCACAAATTAAAATCAATTTTAAAAGGTTTTAGCATACCACACAAACAGGCATTCATTCACCTATGAGGATGTGTCTGGAGATTATAATTCTAAGTCATTTTTCTTGCATGTAACTCTCTTAATACATCATTATTTTTTGATTTTCTATTTCCTTCAGATGGAGGGAGAAGACAATGATAATTGCAAAACCATCTGTAGACAGAATATTTCTGTCACCCTAGAAAGTTTTATGTGTGCCTTTCTAGTCAACTCACCTTCTGGAGACAATAGATGTTCTTATTTCTATCACCTTAGATTTACTTTACCCATTATAGACTTCAAATCAATGGAATCATACATACTCTTTTGTGCCTGGTTTCTTTCATTCATCACGTTTTTTAGTTTCCCCCATGTTCTCATGTGTATCAGTCTTTCATTATTGCTGTTGCTGAGTAGTATCTTATTATATGGATGAAGCACAGTTTGTTTATCCATTCAGCTGTGCACACCACTGACTGGACATAGAATCTTTTAGGGATTAAATCTTTGGTATTATTCTTAAGAGTGCAAGGTACAGTTGTTCTAGATGTTTATATCCTGTATTTCAAGGGCAGGGTGTGCCTCTAAAATGCTTTAGTTGAAACATGTATCTTAAATACCTTTATTTAAAAACCATTTTCTATCATTCATTATGCTACCTAATATGTCACTAGTTTTGCAAATAAAAACCCAACATCTAATATTGCCTATGCTATTTAGCAAAGCTTTGGGTATTATTCAAGCTGTGGGTAGCTGAACTGTAGTTTCCTCTGTTGTGGCCTTATATGTTAATAACAACAGTGGGTGGCCACCCTGGAGTTTGCTTTCTTGACTAAGTCAATTGACTCTCCTTAGAGTTGAGACTTAACCAGCACATACCCAATATCCTCTGGCTTTTGTTGAAAAGATTTAATGTAAATTATACATCCTAACACTGTGGTATTTTTATTCTTACTTGGTAACTGATAGTCAGATATTATGAACAAAATTTAAGTCATTGTTCCTGCAGGTCCTAAAGATCTGTAAGTCATGTAATTATAATCCTTGCTCAACAGTCAAATTGTTTTTTGTGATATGGGACAATAAAATTGACCTTTATATTAATATTCTAAGGCTGGCATAACAAAATACCACAGACTAGGTGACATAAACAACACAATTTATTATCTCAGAGTTCCACAGGCTAGAAGCTCAAGATCAAGTTGTTAGCAGGGTCAATTTCTTCTGAAGTTTGCAGATCATGTTGCCTTTTCACTGTGTCCTTACATGGTCTTGCCCTTGAGGGTACGCATGTCTGTGTCCAAATTTCCTTTTCTTATAAGAACAGCAGTCATACTGAATTAGAGTCCACCTATGTGACATCATTTTACATTAATTATTTCTTTAAAGACCCTATTTTCAAGCACCGTTACATTCTGAGGTACTGGGGGTAAGGGCTTCAATATGTAAATTTTGAGTCGGATAGAACTCAGTCCATAACAACTCTCCAAGTAAATATTACATTCGCAAACAAAACAGTTGAAACCTTTATGCACTGCTTTACTAATTCTCCTGCACACAATGATGATGTATAATTTTGATGATGAGATTTTCCTGTATTGAGTTTCTTTCTAGAGGAATGAGAAATGTGCAATTACAAATACAGATAGCTTATAAAATATTCTAAACTGCAAAAAACCAGTGATAAAAATTGAAAGCTCTTTTTCAGAGGTGGCTTCTTTTTCCTTTGTTCCATTGGGGTGCAGAATTCTCTCATGTTTAGATTTGTTCTTTCCTGAAGATAAATCTTAATTTCTGCTTGGTATTTTATCTCTGACAGTTTTCCTTTCTTTCCCCATTTTGTTTTCTGTCTGAATGTTATTTTTTTTTTACTTCTGTCTTATTGTTTCTCTAATATTAAAGTCTACCTGTGCAGAAGCCAATTTAGCTAACTTGCTATTTTTCTCTTCCACTCCTCCTTTACCACCTCATCAGCAGAACTGACATTATAAAAGAAAAAGAATTGAAATTCTTTTGAAGTTGTTTAGGACAAATGCAGTGGGTTAAGCAGATGA